CGTCCATGGCCGAATGTGAACATACGCCTTCCATAGGCGGCTTATCCATGCAGGACTGTTGAGCGGACTTACCTGCCGTCTCACCTGATGGGATCCTAGAATAATATTATTCTTCTCCGAACATACCTGACCATTTATGACAGTATTGAACTTAGGCCTATGAGAAAAACATGATTTCATCTGACATAATGAAATGTCAGGATCAACGGAAGCAGCCTCAACTAAATTATCAGTAGTCCCAAGTTCGTATGAACGGGCACGTCTATTAGTAGTACCCAGACCACCCGAGAGTATCCTCTTGTTAACTGACGGTGAGCTCTGGTCGTCAGAAAACGATACAAGTGAATTCCGTCCGGAATCGCATCTCCGTGGCCCTTTAGTACCAATTATGGTTTCCAAAATGTTCACCCTTTCCACCACGTAGTACTCATCTCGCTGATCTGACTTTGAATGCTTTCAGGCATTCCAACAAAGAATCACTATTATATGTACTAACTCCAGACATTGTTCTGGAACACTGTGTAGATTCAGATTGCTCATCTCTCTCAAATGTGTTATATTTTACATTAAATCAATAAATGGTACTTCTCCATTAGGAGTGGCATCAAATCTCTTTTTAACCAGACTTGTTTCATTACTTTGGCCATCTGGGAGCTGAGTCTGCAGAACGTCCGCTAATACTGCTGTGCCCTCACCTGCCCCTGACTAACCAACACAGAATTTATTAAGTAACATCATTTGGTCATCATCTTCTGTTGTTTCCATGTCAAAAAAAATATGACATCAAAATAGTGTAATCAAAGGATTCTCTGGTAATGAAATGATCAAGGATTTTCATCCCACCGCTGCCACCAAATTTCTGTAACGTGCCCGAGGTATGAGGCTTTATAATTGATCAAATCTCCAATGAAGGAGATATATTTCATTGTAACCAATATATGTGGTACTTCCTGGTAATTTGTTATTTGGTAATCCTGGTTGATTTGGTAAGATAAATCCCTGTGTTGGTCAGTAAAATATTGCATTGCAGAGGCAAACAAGAGCACAACATAAGATAATTCAAGTTTCAGCAATAATTTAATAAAGGAATAACAGTTACTGTAATACTGATGACTGGAAAAACCAAATAAACAGTGGTGATAATACAATTGGTCAGACCGGACGTCACATATGATTATGATTTGGTCACGCTATTATGATTTGGTCACGCTATTATGATTTGGTAACGTTATTATGATTTGGTAAAGTGATGACTGTTGATTTTCCGTAATAAATCAATTTGGTCAAATGTACACAATGGTAAAACTTCAAAGAGACTGTTGAATTCCTTAATAAACCTATTTGGTCAATATAATCTATAGTAAAAACTCCCCATTCGTTAGTTATATCAGTATTTACGTACAATTTCTATGAAAGTTGTTGCGCAGACGTTCTGCAGAGTCAAACTGAAACCTCAGCGTCCGTGGCGACGCTTATATAGGGTAAACTACCGGACATGCGCAGTGCGCTTTACCTAACCAAAATGAAAGTGTAGACCAAAATGGCAGACGATACTAACAACATCGCCGAAGTGGGACAAACCATGAAAAATACGAACGATGTGACGCCGAATCGTAAAACAAATACATAGTAATAAACAATGAAGGTAAGTTGCATAAAAAATGTACAATACATGTTGCGTAAAATGTAACAATAATAAAATAATGACGTTCGAGGACGGAGAACAATAACCTAAACCCCCCTTGTAAATTAGAATCTTCCGAATCGCCATCAATCGGCAATCCTCGGCTGACTCCGCTACGCTCCATTCAAACCTCGGATGTGATTGGTGGAGGAATACGCATCAGATCCTAACATTTCTCCGCCGGAAACTGCCTTATCACTCATTTTATATTTCGCTCAGCATAACGTTCTTCGAAAATGTTTCATAATTGGTGCAATTCTTTATCGTAAACAGGTTTTGATTACAACCTCATGTCAATACGCTTTGAAAGCAAGAAAAATATGTTGAGTGTGCCACAAAATAACTTCGATTTCAAATGTATGACATTTGAAAGAAATTCAAATAAGATCACATGACTGAATCAGCAAGATGGTAGATCACCGTAAACGTCCGAGGTTATGTGCGAGGTACGAGTCATCCGAGGAACTCCGAGTGAATCGCCATGACCAAAAAGGAAAACAACGTGGTCGACAGACACACATGAAAAACGGTATTTACGATCATTTTACAACCTGAACTGTAAGTTAAATGAAATAAACATTCATAATAAATACTGTTTCAATCATAAGAGTCCATAATTTTACGTATCAGTCCATATTTCCTCCGTGGTAAACTTGGTCATTTACCAAACATGAAAGTGTAGGATTTACCAAACATGAAATAACAGGAAGTACCAAACATCGTTTTATAGTACACTTTATAGTAATGTTTACAGTTCAAATATAATTGCTGTAAGAGAAATCGTGTAAAAATAATGATTACAAACTAATTATACACATATGACATATAGAGGGGGGGGTCTCAAAACACAAATATTTCACACTCCAGTTATATTTCATGATTCTCATACTTTATTTTACGTCTGTCCCGTGTATTACTTAGTTAGAAAAAAGCGAGAAAGCATTAAGTTTCGTCACATATTGGTCAAATTGCTTAAATATATATAGCTATACGTGACAAATGGAGATAATAAACAGTATTCAACATCAAAAGTCCATAAAAAAAAATTTAAAAATAGGAGCAGAGCAAACATGGACCCCAAAACATCAGAAATGTGATCAAGTACCATGGAGGAGTGAGCATCCCAAGCTGACCGGTCACACCCTCCGTGTGCTCCTTGTCATGATCAGGAAATAACGGAAAAATCCGTCGTCAAGTCAGTGTATAAATAATGCACTTACAATACTAGATATGAAAAATGTCAATCAGCATTAGGCTTAATGATAAATTGTATTTGCTGACAAGGTTCCATTGACCAAAGAACTTACGATAGGATGACTTTATACTAGACTTTTTATATTCTTGTTTCATCAACTTGTTTGCCAATATTTACCTTCTTTTAGAAATTGTACATTGAGCATGCTCTTGCATATCGAATCAACTGAGATATAAAAACTCCCTATACATGTGATGAAGGTTTTGCTGCTTAAGCTATAAGAAAAATTGACGATGAAAAGTTAAAGTCATCAAGTCATACAGAGCTTGGTTGTTGGATTACCATTAATGTCTTTACAAGTAAAATATATCCAAATATGAAGCAGATGTTTTAGCTTCTGTGGTATCTTTTATCTCAAGCTCACCGGGACATATCGTACCGACACAAGAATAGAAATTACCATAGTTAATTGAAGACCACAGCAAATGCTTTTCTTCTCATGTATGACATTTTGGACAAATTCCGCTTCATATAAATACAAAAATAGGTCTGCTTGTAACGGGGTGCAATTGGTACCCATGGAAATTCCAATTTATTGTTGGAAGACCTGATGTCCAAACTCCAGATAGATATTGTCAAACAGAAACTCAAGCATCCTTTTGATGTCAACTTCGAAGTTCTTCTATGTACAATCAGAATTTTTTTTCTACAAATTAATTTTGCAATTGATCAATGACAAAGATTGATTGATTGAATACTGTTTAACGTCCCGCTCCAGAATATTTCACTGATATGGAGACGTCACCATTGCCGGTGAAGGGCTGCAAATTTAGGCCTATGCTCGGCGCTTACGGCCTTTGAGCAGGGAGGGATTTTTATCGTGCCACACCTGCTGTGATACGGGGCCTCGGTTTATACGGTCTCATCCGAAGGACCGCCCCATTTAGTCGCCTTTTACGACAAGCAAAGGGGTACTGAGGACCTATTCTAACCCGGATCCACACGGGGCTCAATGACAAAGAAAATAAATTTACGAGTTCCATTTTTATTGAAAAAGTAGTTGTGTTACGAAATTCGTTTCGTCACTTTTATATATTTCATTGATCACTCGCAGCGTATGCAGTTGTTATCAGCATATTGATATGTACATGATTGTTTGTTATTAAATAATTGATAAAAAGTTGTAAAAGAAATAAGTTATATGCTGTCAATCATATAATATTGTTTTAGAATCGGGTTCACTGTATTTCGACCCGGTCTCGATCTCGATAGCATGTTTGAAGTCAATTATCACATTTCGTCTTTGAACATTGTATTGTCATTGTTTAAATCAACTTAATAACGTAATAGCTACTTGTACTTATCGTATTTTGGTAGATAAAATCCCATTTTGTATGGTTAGTAATGATTTTCTATTAGAAAACTTCTCTGCGTGCACTTTCCCTGATTTGTTTATACCGGAAGTGGCGTAGGGTCATTCCGGGTCAGCGATTGGCTAATTGAGGTTACCAGTGGGTACAGTAAAGGTATATAAAGAAGCGAAAATTTCGTCTGCTAGAGGAGAAGGGGGGAGAAGTTGGGAGGATACGGAAGCCTCCAGATTATTATCTTACAAGTGCTCCCATCATTGGCAGTCATTTAAAGGGATGGCAGACCCTATGCAGACCAGATGGGTAATTATATTAGTCAAGTTATATTAAATTGAGACGCTGAGAGTGAGATATCCCTGTGGGAGACCCATAAGTAGAGTGGGAGACCCATCGACGGGAAAACTTATGGGAGAATTTATGGGAGTTACAATTTATTATTAAAACTATATAGGTCTTATAGAATAGGCATAAATAAATTATATTAAACCAAGGAAAGTATATTTTAGTACAAGTAGCTAATTTTTATAATTATTTTGGGAGATTTAGATTTTACCTACGGGTTGTGGGAGTGACTTCACTTTATAAGAGACTGATATATATACTGTATTGTGATTTTTATTATAACAATACTTACATTTAATTGTACATAGTGTAAATAAATTTTATTTGTTGAACTTTTATCCTGACTTAATTATTAATTTATTGGTTAACATACGAGAGTGGAAAGCCCACACAGTTGCCCCACTCTCTCCCGAGGTGGGAGGCGCAACACTGGTGTCAGAAGTGGGATCAAGTCCCTTTGATTGGGAAGAAATTTTCCACATTCTCGGTTAGCTTTATTAAATTCAAAATTTTACAATCATTGAAATTTCATAGTGTACTATAAAAAAAAAAAGTCACAGAAATGTCAGATTTAGAAGAGTCCGGGGAAGTCACTTTCAAACCCATAGGTCAGCAAATTTTCAGTCCCGCTGGATCCATCGCGGATAACGGGAAAGTCCCTGCTCCCACAGAAGGTATCTCAGCAGCCATGTCTCCCATATCTGAAAATGCAAATGTGTCATTAGTTAAGGTTTTACAAGAGCAATTTACTAGTGAATTTGCAAAAATGAATCAAAAGATAGGAGAGCAATTTGTAAGCATTAGGGAAGAAATTGATGGGAGGTTAGAGAATATGCAGGAAGAGATTTTTAAATTTAAACACGAATCCCAGAATTTATGGGAACGGGATCAAACAAGGGTAAAGGATGCCCACATAAATAATAGAGCCCTGTATCAAATCCCATCGCATTTAAGTAATGACAATGTTAGGGAAAATAGACACCCAAGCTCATATGGCCAATATAGAGTGGGAGAAGAGAATGGGATAAATAGAGGGATGATAGGATCTCAATTCAATTTTACAGGTGACCTCCCAGAATTTAGTAGAAAAGATTCAAGGTCAGGGATGGGAGATTACCATCAGTTACCCAGTGTACCCAATATAAACAGGTTTAGCACTCCCGATCACAATGGGAACAGGAATGTGTTAACACCCACTAGGGATCCCCCGAGGGAAAGGGCTAAACCCAGGATATTTGATGGGAATGAGGATTTTGATGATTATCTCTCTCAGTTTGAGATAGTCGCAGACCTTAATAATTGGGATTACAAAACTAAATCTTTACAGTTAGCAGGTCATTTAGCTAAAGATGCATGTAGTTTGTTGGGAGAGTTGAGCCCAGGTCAGAGAAGGGATTATAATACCCTGATAACAGCCTTGAAAAGACGCTTTGGGGCCACAGAAAGATCTGAAATGTTTAGGGCAAGATTGAAAACCCGGGTGAGGGGTCAAAATGAGAGCATCTCTGAGCTAGCCCAGGCAATAAAGAAATTAACCAGACAAGCCTATCCCAGCGCTGAGCCCAGTCTCACTAACGTATTAGCATTAGACCAATTTATAGACGCGTTACCAGATCCCGACATTAGGCTGCGCCTGAGGGAGGCCCGACCTAGGGATATAAATGAAGCCGAAACTCTAGCAATTAGGTTAGAAACTTATAGGTTGGCGGATACACAGAAGTGTGCAAAGTTGAACAATGTAAACGCCATAGATGCTAGTGGGAGTGGTAGCACCCAAGATTCATTTAAATTGACCAAATTATTGGGGAGATTAAATGAAAACATAGAAAGGTTAGAAAAAACAACCAGAATACAAAATCTCAGTCCACCTTTTAAAAAAGGAAATTGGAAAAATTGGAATCAGAAAAATTACCAGGGTTGGAAAGCTCAAAAATCTGGTTATAATGGCCCAAATAATAAAAAAGAAAATGGGAATGGTTATTCTTGGGGAAATCAAAATGGTAGCACCCAAAATCAAGGTCCCAAAAAGGGAAATAACTCAAGTTCGGGGAAACAGCAGGGAAACCTTCCCATGTCGGCTTCGGGGGTCGGAAATCGACAAAATTTGGGGGAAGACCCACTCCATTAGAAGAGGTTGAAATAAAACCCCAGGAAAATGAAACAAAGTTTCAGGAAATTGTAGGTGAAAATAAAAATGAATCAAATGTTAATGATACTCTTTTGACCTCAAATGAGGGAGATGGGAATGAAAAAGATGAGAGGGATATGGGAGAGAAATCTGGCCCAAAAGAAACCCTTTCGCAAGCTACCAAAGTAATTGTTCATAATGCAAGCAAAATTGAATCAGGCATATTTGTTCCCACACAAATCAATGGGAAAGAATGTAGATTTTTAGTAGATTCTGGGGCAGATGTTACCATTATTAGTACCCAATTTTTAGAGAAATGTTTTGAGGGGAAATCACCTTCCTTAGAACCCTATGATGTGAAACTAGTCTCTGCTACAGGGGACCCAATACCAAATAGTGGGAAATGTGAAGTCCATTTTAAAATGGGGAAAAATGAAATCACCCACAAAGTGATAGTAGCTGATATTAGATACAACGGTATCTTAGGTTTAGACTTTATGACTGAACATTCATGTGATATCTTAGTTCAAAAGATGTGTTTACGTGTTAAGGGTCAAGAGATCCCTTGTTTTAGATTTAGTAGTGATGAGGTAGATTGTACCTTTAGAGTTGCATTAATGGAGGACGTGAAAGTACCTCCCAACTCAGAGTTTATTGCCCATGGTAGAATTTTGGATTCTATTCCTAAATGGGATGAGGCTTTGGTAGAGCCAAATATAGAATTTATGGGTAAACATGAAGTGTTAGTGGCTAGGACACTTGTAAACCCCACATCTGGGATAATCCCATTAAAAGTCATGAATGTGTCAGATAGGGAAATTGAACTCCATAAAAATAGTCTTATGGGAGGAATGGAGAAAGTCTCTATGTTAAAAGATGATAGTTTAGCTATATCAGAAATCAGCTTAGAAGATACCCCCACTAAATTACCAGAACATTTGAAAAATCTGTATGAAGAGTCATGTATTGGGATAACAGAAATTGAAAAAGAGCAATTAAAAGATTTACTTGTAGAGTATCAGGGTTGTTTCTCTAAAAATTCTGAGGATATGGGACTTACAAATATGGCAGAGCATAGAATAGATACTGGGAATAATAGACCCATTAAACAGGCCCCAAGAAGAATTCCTCTTGCCAAAATGCAAGATGTTAATAGGGAAATTAAAGAAATGTTAGCTAAGGGAGTGATTGAAGAATCAGATAGTCCCTGGAGCTCCCCTATAGTTCTAGTTAAAAAGAAAGATAACTCGATAAGGTTTTGTATAGACTTTAGAAAACTCAATGAGGTGACTATCAAGGATAGTCACCCTATTCCTAGGATAGAGTCAATATTAGATGCCCTTTCGGGATCAAAATACTATTCCACCATAGATTTGAAAAGTGGGTATTGGCAGGTTAAGGTAGCAGAGGAAGATAAACCTAAAACAGCATTCTCAATCCCGGGGGGTGGTCATTGGAATTTTACTGTCATGCCCTTCGGTTTGTGCAACGCGGGGGCCACTTTCCAAAGATTGATGGAAAAAGTACTCTCTCATTTGTCGTGGGAAATTTGCATGGTATATCTTGATGACATTATTGTCTTAGCCCCTAATTTTTCCCAACACCTTAGGAACTTAGAAAAAGTGTTCGGTAGATTAAAGAAAGCAAACCTTAAAATCAACCCTAAAAAGTGCAAACTTTTACAGAGGGAAGTAGCATACTTAGGACATATTATCAGCGAACAGGGAATAAAGACTGACCCTGACAAAATCGATGCGGTCCAAGATTGGCCCACACCTAAAAATGTTAGGGATGTCCGTAGTTTTCTAGGTATTTGTTCCTATTATCGGAAATTTGTTCAAGGGTTTTCTGTAATAGCTAAGCCCTTGCACAAATTAACAGAAAAATCCCAAAAGTTTGTATGGGACTCAGACTGTCAAGAAGCCTTTGACAAGTTGAAAAGAGCTTTAACCAGCAGCCCAATACTTTCTTATCCCAAGAAAGAGGGACAATATGTGATAGATACAGATGCCTCAAACACTGGCATGGGATCTGTACTATCCCAAATCCAGGATGGGGAAGAAAAAGTCATAAGTTACTATAGTAAGCTATTCAATACGGCTGAACGCCGATACTGTGTGACTAGACGGGAATTGTTAGCTATTATTCAGTCCATCAAACACTTTCACCATTATCTTTATGGGCAAGTATTTAAAATGAGAACAGACCATGGTTCATTACGATGGCTTCTGAAATTTAAGAATCCCGAAGGTCAAATAGCCCGTTGGCTAGAAACATTAGCTTCTTACCAATTTGAAATAGAACACAGGCCAGGTCGCTTGCATGGGAATGCAGATGCTTTATCCCGCAGACCTTGTGCTGATGTGGAGTGTACATACTGTGCTAAAGCAGAGGTAAAATACCTACCTGAAGAATCTACACAAAAGTGTTCAGTTGTTGAAACTAGGTCGAAACAAAAGGCACCTGAAAATAAAGAAAGTTTAATTAGCACAGAAAATTTTGATGTGGGAAAATATCAAAATGAAGACCCAGATTTAAAGCATGTTATTAAGTGGGTACAAGATGGAACTCAACCCAGTTGGGAAGATATATCCCATTTAAGTGAGACTTGTAAATTTTATTGGGTTCGATTCGAGTCTTTAGAGTACAGACACAATACCTTGTACTATGTCCATGATGGGTTAGAAAGAAATTATTGTATAGTGATCCCAAAAGCTTTAGTGGGAGAAGTTTTGACCCTATTACACAATAGTACTACAGGAGGTCACTTAGGTATTAAGAAAACCCTACCTAAAGTAAGGGAAAGATATTTTTGGTACAAAATGAGTACTGATACAAAACATTGGTGTGTAACATATGACACTTGTGAGTCTAGAAAATCCCCTAATAGGAGGATAAGAGCCCCACTTCAAAAATATGTGGTTGGTGCTCCTTTAGAGAGGGTAGCAATTGACGTTATGGGACCATTGCCCAAATCCAATAAGGGAAATCTCTACATCTTAGTTATGGGCGATTATTTTACAAAATGGGTGGATGCGGTACCCATACGTAATCAGAAAGCTGTCACAGTCGCTCAAAAGTTAATTGATAGAATAGTTAGTATTTTTGGAACACCCATGCAAATCCACAGTGATCAGGGAAGATCATTCGAGTCAGATGTATTTAGGGAAATGTGTAGGATTTTAGGCATCGAGAAAACCCGAACCTCACCATATAGACCTCAGTCAGATGGGTTGGTAGAGCGGGCAAACAGAACAATAGAAACTATGTTAGCATCGTTTGTTTCTCAAAATCAAAAAGATTGGGATGAACATTTACCCTTGCTCATGTTAGCTTATAGGTCAGCCCAGCACGAGTCAACTGGCGTAAGTCCATGTGAGATGATGTTCGGTAGGCATGTTTCTCTCCCAGATTTAGTATTGGGAAGGCTACAACCTGAAAGTACATTAGAAATGTCAGAATATGCTTACAAATTGTCTCAATCTATGGATAAAATACATGAGTTTGCTAGGGATAAAATGAGTTTAGCTACAGAAAAAATGTTAAGAGAATACAACTCAAAGATAAATTTTCAAGGTTATGAAGAGGGAGATCTTGTATGGTACTACGCCCATAATATTAATAAAATGGGATCACCAAAGCTCCAGTGTCATTGGTTGGGACCTTACTTAATTCTGAAAAGAATCAATGATGTTATATACAAAATTAGAAAAACAACAAAAAGTAAACCCAAGGTTGTTCACTATAATTTGTTGAAGCCTTACAAAGGAAGTAATAGACCCAACTAGTAATATGGGATCTGCCTCGAAATATATGTAGCTTAGTGAATATTAAATAGCTAATCATTTTGTCGGAAATTTTAGTAAATCATCTTATGCAGTTTTATTATGCCCATTATTAATGTTTGGGATGTTGTCAGAAATGAGGGACTAAGTATCCCTTTATTACTTTACAGATCCAAAGATTCAAATGTGGACTATGCACAGAAGACAGAGAGTTCACGCAACAGAGTCACTGTGAGAGGCATATGACTGCAGTGCACTCGGGGTTCGTGTTCCGATGTGCCACTTGCGGGATCGTACTTGGACGAAAAGATCAAAAGCACGGGTGTGAGGGCAGGACCCTGCAGAGAGTGAAGAAATCAACACTCACGCTCACCATAGAGGAAGAGAAGGAGTTTGAGGCCTTCCAACGTGGGAGAGGGAGACATGTCGTGCCCTTCATGAAGGAGCTCCCCTTAGTGTTCAGCGATCAGCCGTACCACCAGGGCCAAGCAAAAAAGAGAGCAATATACACGGAGCCTCACCAAGGACGGAATGCCAAGAAGCGACCAAAGAGATCCGCCGCAGCGCCTGCACTCCTGTCGATGTCGACCGAGAAGTCCATCACAGCGCCTACACTCCTATCGATGCCGACCGTGAAGTCCACCCCAGAGCCTGCACTCCCATCGACTGAGAAGTCCATCCCAGCGTCTCCACTCCTGCAGTCGGAAAAGTCAACATCATCACGTCAGAGTAAGAACGATACACCGCAGAGGAGGTCTTTCAAACGATTATTCGGGGACAGTTTAAGTGACTCGTCAGATGAAGAAGATCTTCTTACTCCTGACATTTCAATAACGGAGCCTCCTGTTACCTCTACACCGAGTAGAACCCTAACAACTACGACGGAGAGGGAGTTTGACAAACGAGACGTTTCGATACAGACTTCCTCCAGTGGTAGCGCACATCCCTTAGTGTCACAACAATGTATTGGTCTGGATGTTGGTGGGAAACTATTTGTGACGACAGTTGCCACTCTTACAAACCAACCTGATTCCCTTTTCGCAAGGATGATGGAGGACCCCACCTTATTACCTGCTTATAATATACTGGATAGAGGGAACCTACCAGTCTACTTTATTGACCGTGATGCCACCTACTTCGATGTCATACTCCATTACATGAGAGATGGACCGAAGAACATTAATTGCCATTTACCTAATGACGCGAGGACCTTAAGGAAAATCCACATCGAAGCGGTATATTATAGATTAGAAACGCTAGTCGAAATAATTGGTAGCCAGCTGTTCGTAATGATCTTTGGACACAAAGAGTTCTCAGAGGAATAACTGTAATTTGTGAAGATAAAATATGATTTGTGTGTTTTGGAATATATGTCCAATTTTTATAAATACTCATTCATGTCAAATGTTTTGATGATAGGAGAAGTATTGTAAATCCAACTAAGTCCAGTTCTTTTGTTTTGTTGTTGTTGTTGTTATAAATATCAAGTAGTTAAGGGATGGATGTAGCCGAAATGTTTTTATATAATAATAACATGTAGCATTAGTCATTGCAATGAATATATGGATTCGAGTTAAATGTGATATGATTGATTATCATATTTTATTAATGCTACTTCTTGTCATATTATGCATGTCATTGTACATTTTAATTGCATTATTGTTATATTGATTCATACTTACTTCTATAACTGCAAGTGATGTTTTCAGTAGACCCAAGTCCAGTTGCATTCGGGACGAATGTTTTCTTCAGGAGGGGGCTATGTTACGAAATTCGTTTCGTCACTTTTATATATTTCATTGATCACTCGCAGCGTATGCAGTTGTTATCAGCATATTGATATGTACATGATTGTTTGTTATTAAATAATTGATAAAAAGTTGTAAAAGAAATAAGTTATATGCTGTCAATCATATAATATTGTTTTAGAATCGGGTTCACTGTATTTCGACCCGGTCTCGATCTCGATAGCATGTTTGAAGTCAATTATCACGTTTTGTCTTTGAACATTGTATTGTCATTGTTTAAATCAACTTAATAACGTAATAGCTACTTGTACTTATCGTATTTTGGTAGATAAAATCCCATTTTGTATGGTTAGTAATGATTTTCTATTAGAAAACTTCTCTGCGTGCACTTTCCCTGATTTGTTTATACCGGAAGTGGCGTAGGGTCATTCCGGGTCAGCGATTGGCTAATTGAGGTTACCAGTGGGTACAGTAAAGGTATATAAAGAAGCGAAAATTTCGTCTGCTAGAGGAGAAGGGGGGAGAAGTTGGGAGGATACGGAAGCCTCCAGATTATTATCTTACAAGTGCTCCCATCATTGGCAGTCATTTAAAGGGATGGCAGACCCTATGCAGACCAGATGGGTAATTATATTAGTCAAGTTATATTAAATTGAGACGCTGAGAGTGAGATATCCCTGTGGGAGACCCATAAGTAGAGTGGGAGACCCATCGACGGGAAAACTTATGGGAGAATTTATGGGAGTTACAATTTATTATTAAAACTATATAGGTCTTATAGAATAGGCATAAATAAATTATATTAAACCAAGGAAAGTATATTTTAGTACAAGTAGCTAATTTTTATAATTATTTTGGGAGATTTAGATTTTACCTACGGGTTGTGGGAGTGACTTCACTTTATAAGAGACTGATATATATACTGTATTGTGATTTTTATTATAACAATACTTACATTTAATTGTACATAGTGTAAATAAATTTTATTTGTTGAACTTTTATCCTGACTTAATTATTAATTTATTGGTTAACATACGAGAGTGGAAAGCCCACACAGTTGCCCCACTCTCTCCCGAGGTGGGAGGCGCAACAGTTGTTAATGTCTTATTGATATCAAAAAGCCTGAACTCTAATTCATTGTGGGGAATGGTTGTGTATAAAGTTGATCATGAAAGTCACAAGTTTTTAAGCTATTGATTTTGGTAAAATTTTGTGATTTTAAATTGTCCAAAATTCCTTATTTGAAGTTTTTTCCCCAGACAAAGAGAATTTATGTATCTTGAATAACATTTTTTTCTTCAGTTCTACAAAATATTGATAATTAAACTTTGTTTGGATGCTCGACCTATAGAGGGTCAGTTGGCATGCAATGGAGCGTAGATGCCGACCTTGTGAAAAATATTCTCCGGAAATTTTTTTGGTATAACACAAAGAATATACTTTATTTTGTGTTTAAGATATTTGTTCCGGAATTCACACCATACAAGAGGAAATAAACCTCCAACTATCTGAGGAAACAACAATAAAATCACCAGGATATCCAGAGAAAAACTACGAAAGCAACACAAATTATACTTGGATGGTGACAGCACCTGACGTAACAGAGGAGATAGATATCAAGATAGAAATGGATATTCAACGTACTCCAGGATACGAATGTTATGACCACCTACAGGTTCAGTATTTAATATCATATTATAGAAGGTCTATACCGCGAAAAAACAAGACAAATATATTTTATGCAATTATAGCCTTATATAGGACCTTTTGGGGATGGCGCTCCTGTGTTCTTCGACAAATAACAATGAAAAAATCCTAATCATTTTAACTATAGAAAATCAACTAAACTTTTTAAATTGAAATCAAAAAAATAAACAAAATTGTTAATTAATGTAAATATACTAAAAATATAAAAATTGAAAAAAGAATGATTTTCAAGTTTGAACGATTTCATTTGAAGATTTAATAAACACAAAAGAAAATGATCTTTTGGTATGTCAAACGTTGCAATATTCGAACTTTTCACATTGTATTGTATGATTTTTTATTTGTATTGTAAATTTTTTATTTGTATTCTATAATTTTCCATTTGCACTGTAAAATTTTCCATTTGTATTGCATAAATTTTATATGTATTTTTTTAATTTTCCATCATATTGTATACCTTTCCTTTGAATTGTAAAATTTCATTTTTATTGTATAATTTTACATTTTTATCGTCTATTTTTTATTTGTATTCTATAATTTTCTATTTGTATTACCATGATATAATTTGTCATTTGAATTGCATCATTTTTTCAATTGCATTATATACTTTTTTCCCATTTGTTTTGTATAATTTTTATTTGTTTTTATTATTGTGTCGCCTTGTTTATTACTTTGTTTTTGTTTCTTAATTTAAACTTTATCAGATAATTACATAAACAATTTACATGTATTAACAATTTTTCGTTGATTATAATAGATTCAGGAAATTGATTACTACTACTTCACACTCTTTAAACAATGTGGAAAACGAACGGAAATTAGAACAGCAAAAGGAAACAAACTTCTGATTACTCTCTTCTCTAACCATGACAGACTTACAGCTAAAGGGTTTCAGCTACGTCTTAAAGGTAAATATCTTTGTTGGTTATTAAAAAAAATGTTTAACTTTTGCCTTAAGAAATTTGAGAGAAATTATTGCAATATTATCTGAAGCAAACAGTTAAACATTTAATGTACCGGTATTACTTCAGGTCCAATGTTCAATAAAAAGAATTCTAATGCAATTGTTTTGTAAAACAATTTTTGATTGGCCAATGCACTAATTTTTGAAGCAGTAAAACGAGCATTAACGAGCGTGAAAGCTTTTTCATTGTGACGTCATAAT